GCCTTGGAGCTCTGCTGGGCCCAGCAGCGCTGAGCAGAAGCTCCCTGGCACTGGGGCCTCTCCCAGCTGGGATCTCTCCTGGCTGCTGCCCTGGGCTGATCCCTGAACGCCCACGGCTCCTGGGCCCATCCCCCCAGGGCTGCAGGCCCAGCCCTTGGCCCAGGGAGGAGATGCAAAGGGATCCGCAGGGAGCATTTCACTGCCTGCCAGGGCAATTGCTCACAGGGAACTTGCACTGATTCTGCCTGGCTGGCTGTGTGCACACACGTCTGCATCTGCTCTGGCAAATGTGGCAGAAATGCTGCTCTCTCAGCTGTCTTAGTACTTGAGACATCTCACTGGGGCAGGTCTGGAAGCAAGGTTAAGGCATGAGATACCATTCTATCTAAATGCTGTTCATGTCCTTTCTGTGCTAAATTGTTTATTTCAAGGTACAAAAGCAGGAGTGGCTGGGAGTAGCAGCGACACTGCTCATGGTCCTGGGTGGAGTAGGGTAGGAGCAGGGCTGTCATAGGGGATAAGACAGACCCAGGGAGGGTCTGGAGGTGGTTAGAGTGGTCCAGAAGGGTCAGAGAGTTCTGGAAAGGTCTGGCGGAGGTCAGGAAAGGTCTGTATGCTGCTGATCCCAAATGTCCCAATTGGAGGGCACCAGAGTGCGATGGGCATCGCTTTGAGGAGGGGAGAACCCATGGGATGGGATCGGATGGGATGGGAACGCATGGGATGGGATTGGATGGGATGGGATGGGGATAGGAGGAGGAAGCAGCTCAATTGTTCTTCCTGGTACCAGAGCATATTTTGGCAATGATCTCAGAGCCCTTCACAGAACAGGAGTTTTTTTTGAGAAGCACCCAGCTGCCTCACCAGCACTGCTAGCACTGCCAGCAGCATTCCAGTGCCACCAGCATCCCTCTGCTGCTGGAAGGACAATGACGCCTCAGGGAAGAGAAATGAGGAATGGTAGGAACCTATCTAGAGACGGAAGGCAATTGGAGAATGGGACACTCTGCAGAGATGGAGTGTTTCTCATCAGGAGAGAAAGAGGATCCAACCACAAGAATCTTAATTTAGAGCTTCTGACAAAAGCCACTTCTGCTGTAGAAAAAAAACCAACAACAATAACAACAAAACCCCCCACACCCAACATAAATAACTCCGAGGAACTGAATTTCTGAAGTAGGCAAAGTTGCAATTTTCTATTCCCCCACTTCCCTTTGACTCCATCAAGCCCTGGGAAGCAACATCAGGACAGAGCACAGAGAGGAACCATCAGGACAGAAATGGGGAGCTCCTGGTGAGCTGGGCGCTTTCTCCTTCATGTCCCTGACCTGGCAGGAGCCGCTTTAGGACATGGATCCCAAAGGAGCAAGAGGGACCAGGAAGCGCCGCTGATCTGCACAGAGCCCTTTGCCTGCTGCTGCCCCACAGGGAACAGGTCAGTGCAATGTTTGCCTTCCTCCCTACCCCACCTTCCTCTCCTGCA